CCTAATGATTAAACTAACTTTGAGTTAGCGCCCTATTTTAATCGTTTTTAGCTTGTGTTGCAGCTCAGCACCCCTCTGCACAACCAACTCTCCAAACTAAATCAAGAAAATAACGAAAATGATAAAAATAACTTCGAGGGAGCGCCCTATTTTATTTGTTTTTAGCAACACTGCAGGTCAAACTTCATCTGCACTACGCAAAAATAAATATTAGAAGTAAATAATTAAACAAGCAGTTATCCTAAAATCATTCTTTTAAGCCCTTGCTTTTGGATAAATCTAATAAATAAGCTGCAGCCATAAAAAACAACCACAAAAACTCTGTAATTACTTTTTTAGGTCCTTGGTTTTGAATAAATTATATAATTTTTAACTTCTCAAACACCAAAACAGACACGTTAAAGGCAGCTTTCAGGTCTGCAGCTACAAGTTATTCAGTGATGCTGTTCCATCAAAGTTATTTTCCACCTTTGTGAATCAAAACATGCCACCATTTAGTCACTTGTGGCTCAGAAGTGTCTGATTGTAACACGAGTGATCAGAAAACTGACTGCAAACGTGTAAAATCCAGGTCCAGGAAGGTTTCCTCGGCACTCACCATGAATTTGATGGCGGACAGGACCTGCGCGAAGGTGATCTTGCTGGCGCTATCGGACAGTTTCCCCTCGTTGCAGATGCGGTTGTGCAGGTCTCCTCCGCCGGCGTACTCCAGCACCAGGTAGAGGCGGCTCGGCGTCTCCACCACCTCGTACAGACGGACCACGTTGGGGTGCTGCAGCGACTCCATGCTGGTGATCTCCCTGGAGAGCAGGCGCTGGGCCTGGCCGTCCAGCCTCATCCTGTCCAGGATCTTCAGGGCCACTTTGTCTACGAGCAGGACGAAGGTTTAACAACAGATGACTCCAAATAAAGGGCGACAATCAGGATTTATACGCAACAATAAAAGCTACAAGTAAAACAGAAACTGAATTGTTTGGTAGAAATACAGAAAATGATCCAAAGACAGTATTTGTACCAAACATCACCTGGTTCTATTTGAGGATTTTATACTATTAGAAATGTTTAAAGTCGTTATTTTTGTGCTTTCAGGTTAAGTTTGCATCATTTATTCAGCAGAAACCTGCAAAAATCATCTGGTTCCAGCTACTAAAATGTGAGAATTTCCTCCGTTTTACATCTCTGGGTTCCAAACCAGACATTTCAGAGATGATCAGTAGAATAATCAGATAATAAAACCACTGGTTAGCTGCAGCATGCATTGGTTTTAACATTTTATAGACTCAACAAAATAATTTGAACACTAAATTATAATAAAAACATAGCTGCATCATTGCCGAGGACCTGGCAAAACATCAGGTGTGAAGTCATGTTCCAGATGTTTCACTGCTACGTGGTTTAATAATTATTTAGTTTAATTGAGTGATTTCTCTTCTAGACTGTGCATCAGCAGCGATATAGTAGTATCTAGTGAAACAGAGCGGAGCCAGGGTTGAGTATTGGACCGGCTGATGGTCAGAAAGCTCGGTCTTTACGGTTGGGTTGGGCTCTCAAATCCAGAAACATCTCCTGGGTTCAATCATTCAGGTCTTAACTCTTTAACATCAAAGTTTTTTTTTTTTGCTAAATAGAACAAAAGCCAGAAGGCATTTGGTTCACTGGACAATGAAAACAGTCTGCAGCAGACAGTGATTCAACAAGAGTGGGCTGCTGTAGACGTCAGAAAAGAAACACCAGTGGACTCTTCAGAGAACACACGCCTCAACAGAAACCTAATTAAACCTGAAACTAAACCTGCCACTGACGTCTTTACGGGGGCAAAGATCAGCTCTGGAAAATCTAACTTTCTTCTCAAGACCCAGAACCTTTACGAAATGTACACCTTACTACTTCACTATTCCCCTTCCAGAATCCCTCATTTTTATGTGTTTGTTTTCTGTTTTTATCCGTATATGTTTACTGTTTTTATTTCTTTATGTTTACATGGATGATGCTCTCATTATCCTCCTTTGTTGCAGCTGTAAACAGGTATTCATGCATCCAGCAGACCAGATGTTACCTACGGACCTGAAATATTCCAGCTCTGCTCTGTGTGTAATTTGTAAAACTAATTTTAAAACAAGCTAACAAACAGTAAGAAGCTACTGGTTTTACATAGTCAGATGCTAGTCAGGCCTGTGAGCGCTGGCTTTAACTGTGTTTGGGTCTCAGTTTCAGACCTGTGCAGAACTCTCAGCCATCTCTTAAGTTCTTCTTGCTTTGTTGAACACACCTGCTGCATAAAGTTTAACCTCTGCTCATCCTTTCCCTTAAGCTACTAACAAGGTGTTCTGGGAAGCTCTTCTTTTGCTCGCACAGGAACGGGGCTAAATACCGAGCCACCATTATGTAAGAAAGGACCTCAGGTAGAGGTGAACGTTCTGGACCATGTTCAGGTACCTCTAGTCAGAGCGTGAAAGGCCAGTTTGACCCTGGAGAACGTCCCGTAGCCGATCTCCCCGCGGACCTTGTAGAACCCGACCCTGCGCCCTATGATCAGCTCCTTGATGGTCTTCTCGTCCTTGCACATGTCGACGGTGAGCTTCTGCAGAGGGGTGAGGCGCAGCGGGGCGTCGGCCTCCTCCTCGTCCTCGGGGCCCACGTCGGAGCTGTCCGTCAGGCTGTAGAGGCTGTGGTGGAACTTGGTGCTGGCCACCTGGTACTGGCCTCCGGGCATGTCTGCAGCGGGCTGACGACAATGGCATCTTCAGGGAGAATAAAAAACACGAGTCACTGCCAGCTCAGGACACGTAAACACGCTGATGCGCATGCACAGAAGAATATTGCACACGTAAAAACACTCTTTAACCCTATTCAGGAGATTTGGGGCCATTAGGTTGAGGTGACAGAGATTGTTTTTTTTTTAATTTTTGAAGATTTTTTTAAAAAATCAAAAGAGGGACATCTGTCATGCATTTGGAACCAAAAATACGTCAACTTCAGAAAATGTATTTAACATCTATAATGAATACCAACAAATATTTTGCACCTTCCTGTAGCTCTTTTGTCCAAAAGACCTTCTACGAATAGGGTTAAATGAGTATACTGATGTACTAAGCCCTACGTTTTACTATCAGTGAATGTAATTTTCTTTCTTTATCAATCACTTGAACCTAATTTCCACACTTGCTTCTTCCATCGTGCCACAAAAAAGACCTTCTATTACATTCTGTGCACATTTTATTCTAATTTCAGGAAACTTGAAATCATGAAATGTCTGCAAACAACAGAGAAAGTTTTCTTACCAAGTGTCCAAACTGCTCCTCTGCATCAAACCATGTCTGTAGAGTCCATCACAAGCGATATTTCTTTGTTTGGCCCCACAGGACCCTAAAAAAAAGAAAAACGCTCCTCACTTACATGCTACCGTCCCGCTCTTTCCTCGACGACTGTGCGACGACGGCAACAACACGCGAGACGGCAGGGGAGGGGGCGCGTCGGCCTGAGCCATTAGCTGAGTGGGAGTCTGTGGCCACACCTCGATCTTCGCCCGCTCCTCGTCGCCAAAGGACGAAGGCTTAAGATGGTGTCATGAACTCTAATCCTGCGTTAATTTAGCTCCGTCACAATCCCTTCAAACCGCCAACGCTAGTTCACGGCCACGAAAACGAGGCCAAAAAAACCCACCACGACAGATAAGAGGCATTTTGTTTTTTTTGCATTTTTTCAGTTTCAGAGTGCTGGTCTGAGCAGAAGACACCTGCGCCAGGTAGACGCCTCGTGTCACCGAGCTAAAGGTTGATGTTGTGGCTTTGGTGAAGATGAAACGTTATGCAATGCTATTACCCAATGTTCCCATAGAGATTAGCTCCTGTCCCCCTTTAGACGCCACTGTGCAGATAAACAGATTAGAAAAGCATGAGGTCAAAACCTGGCCGGGCGGGGTCGGCTTCATTCAGGTGTGTCGTCCCTGTGAGCAGAGCAGCAGCAGCAGCAGGGGGGACGAAAGACACCAAAACATTGACGCGAGTGCAATTAGATCGGATCTGTAGTGTGTAAAACGCAGGTGCAGCTCTTGAATTACAACCACATGAAGTTTTTCTGTATGTCTACTTCTGATTAATCTACCAATACTTGCAGCTCTAAATTCTAATCAAGTGTTGGTTTGGTTAATTTGGTAAAACATATACACTGAATGGCAACTTCATGGTGGCGGCAAGACAAATAAGCAGCTTTTTCACAAATTAAACAAACAAAATAGAGCTTTAGAACTCTCTTTAGGTGGATTTTGTTGAAGCCAGACAACTTTTATCCACCTGTTTCCACTGTTAGCGTCAATCTAAGCTAGCAGACTTGATTTGTAGGATAAAACCACGACAATGATATCCAGTTTTTTCTCTTAACTCTGTCTAACCATTATTTCAAAACCTACTACTGCTCAGATACCATTTTCCAGATTCCCAAATATTGATTTCAGCCTTCAAACTCCAGCATCGATTGAGCCCAGCATGAATTTACAAGAAGCAGCTTAAAGCTTGAATTCAAATAATCTGGAGGAAAGAAATAAACCAAACAGGGGATTTAATGGTAGTGTATTATTTCTTTGAATGAGAAGAGATAAACAGTGAATGGGATTAGCCTTCCAGCTACGCCATTCATTCAGAAGTGTGCGTCTCCCTCGGCTACGCTTCCCTCCCTCCCTCCCTCGGTCCGTCCCTTCCTGCAGGCGTCTAATTGGATTAAAGCCTTAGACAGGAATACAGCATGTGTTTAAATGTTCTCTCTGCACACCGGTCACCTGCAGCCACCGCACATCTAGTCAAGCAGCTAAACGTTCAGAGAATGAAGTCCCAAACGCCCCAAACTTCTCTTCAAAACGAACACTTCAAGTTTCGCGCAACCTGCGTGAACAAACTAGAACTTCCTCCTCTTCAGACGGCCGTCGGCGAAGCTGCCGACGCGCTGACTCTCCTCCAGCTCTGTGATTCTCTGACGCAGAGCTGCAATCTCCTTGTTCTTCTCCTCCTGGAAGAACTGCAGCTTCTGGAGAAACACAAGCAGAAAATTAATCGACGAGGACACTAGAAAGCAGCGATGTAAACAAGACGTGCAGGACTTTTCTCAGTATAGAACGTTGTTGTTGTTGTTGACAGTCGTGACCTTAAAAGCACTCCTCTAAAATCTTTTAATGATTCATGTGTGCGTTCTAATCAAATCAGGCCTGGAACTGGTGAATATTTTCACTCCTGCGTATGATTTCTGATGTAACTGCGCTCCTGGTGAAACATTTAGTGTCTGAAATGTACAACAAAACGTACAACAGAGAACGCCTTTAACCGCATTCTAACACTACTGCTACTAAAAAAAAAGAGGAATTGTTGATTAATATGATCTTTAGCGAAGCATTTTCAGTAAAACACACCCGTATCCGTGTGCAGATTGAGCAGAAAAACAAATTTACAAGTTCTACGTGTGTAAATGCATAGATGCAACTCGATGCAAACAAGAAAAACTGCAAGAAAATGCATGTTAACGTTAAAAGAAATTGAGTTTCTGACAGTTTTTATGCAGACTTTCTCTACGCACATGCTCAGTGTGTGGCCTTGGCTCCTACCTGTACACTCAACACATGATGGGGTGATTAAAGGACACATCAGTGGGCAGATTTAATACTAGAACATGGAAACGGTGTCTGAGTGCCCACTTTGGCTGCTCTGAGAGACGAAGCTGACGCAGCATGCTGGGAGGCCGCCTGATTAGAGTGTGGAGACTAACAAGATGAGACTTCCAGGTCAGATCTAATGGAGTTTGCTCGGCTCTAATTGAAGTTTTCACGTCAAAGACACAACCTGAGCCACCTCGCAGCATCGGCTACACGAGGAATATGCTGACTCGCACCCAGAACTTGAGTTACAGATTGATCATCGATGCTTGATTTGAGGTATAAATGGTGTGAAGTGTGGTGTGTGGGCTGCTCACCCTCTTGAAGACGCTCTGTGGCAGAGGGTTGGACCCACGCTGCTGCTGCTGCTGCTGCTGCTGCTGGTTGAACTGAGCTGTGCTCTGAACTCTGGCTAACTTCGCACCAAACTGCAAAAACACACAAAACAAAGACGAGCTTTCAGTGCAGCGTGAAACCTTTAAAATCAGCTGTTCCAACCTGCATGTTGCACAAAGCTCTCGTTAAGCCGTCAGTTCAAACACACACAGGTCACGGTTCAGCAGAACAATGATCATAACTGTCTGTGATGCTTTACATTTACCTCCATCTGTAACTTCAGCAGCTCGCTCTGCTTCTCCTTCTCTTGATCCTTCAGCTTCTTCTTCAGCTCCTCCAGATCCACGTCTTTTTGCTCCAGCAGCTTCTTTGCTTCGGCATCTTTAGCCTCCACTGCAAATAAATCAAATCAGAACGACTAGCATGATGCAGATTAAAATACGGCTTGTTTTACAATGCAAGTTGATGTGACGATTACAAGCTTTTAGTGGAAAACTGATACAAAACATGTCAGATTTAACTTTCAGAAGTTAATTAGCGGACTGTCTTTGTCTTGTAGGAGGACTTTGAGGCTGAGGGGACGTTAGTTTATGTATATTACGCGTCAGTATTTCATTTCAAACATCCAACAACATTCATTCTGCTCTGGTTCCTCCCTTCTTTTGCACTTGCTGACTCCTCATGTGTTAAAGAGATCTGTCACTGACCTTTTAGAGACCTTCTTGCATCTCAAACTATTAAAAAATAATAAATTAGCAAAGCAAGAAGCCTAAAAAAGATCATCTTTCCATGCATTTGCTTTAATTGAGGACCATCTGTGTGGAATTCACATTGGAATATGACAAAAAATACACAATATTTCACTTGTAAGTCTAAATATTAATCATTTTTCTTTATGATTCACTCCTGTTGTCGATAAAACTAATAAATTCTAATGTTTTCCTCTGAACAGGGAGTGAAGCACGAGTAGCTTTATGTTCACTGAGCTCATTGTCAGCTCAAACAACCTGCAACGCTCACATTAAAGCGCCTGCATGTGGCCTGAAAGACAAACATTGGTTAGAGTTTGCTTCAGGCAGCAGCTACTTATTAAGGAACTATAGATTATTAGAGAAATGTGCATCATAAAATACAGAAAACAAGCAAAACATAGATGAAGTCTGTACGATGTTCTGACTCTAATCTCAAACGGGGTTGTGCAGCAGCTCATCGGAGAAACATTGTGACAGAACGAGTTTCTTATCTGCAGAAACAACCAGGATCTCTGCTGAACTACATGCAGTGTAAGATTTAAGTGTTACACCTAGAAATGCCTCCATGAAGGACAAACTGTCCCGTTTATCAGATCCTTCACATCCTGCTGCCCTCATTCACCCAACACTGATGTCACAGGTGTTAGTCTGCAGTGGGTTTACTGGAACTGGGCCATTGTCTCAGTGGTGATCTGTGAGAGGTCTTACGCTGATTGAAACGCTCCCTGTGTGCGTCATCCACCTCTCGCTGGCACTGCCGTCTCACAGCCTCTAGCTCCCTCTGGTGGCGCTCTTCTTCGGCTCTCAGTTTGCCGAGCAGCTGCTGAACTTCAGCCTCTCCAACCTGACAAGAAGGCAGACGTCACCACACACGAGAGCTGAAGCTACTACCGAGCAAACTTAAGGTTTTAAAATCATGGTACGAAGCTGTTTGACTGTTCAGACTGAGCTTGACTGACCGCTCACTCATTTATCTGTCGGTCTGCTACATCTTTTAGGATGAAAAATGTATTACATAGTTATTATCATCATTGTTTTCCACACGATTCCCAGTTTAACCAGCCAGAATGAATCGAAACACCTGAGCTCTGAGGAAAGAAACTGTGAAAATGTGGCCGCAAAGTAGTCAGAAAACAATATGTCAATAAACTGTACACCACTGCAACATTCAGAAACTACAAAAACAAAGAAAATAACAACAAATGCCTGAAAAATTATGATTATATTTTTGCTAATTTAAATACAGCAAAACTGAATATATACAGTTGAAACCAGAAGTTTACATTCACAATATAAAAAGAGATAAAACTATTTTTTCTCCTCACTGTCTGACATGAAATCAGACAAACCTTCTCCTGTTTCAGGTCACTTAGGATTACCGACATTATTTATATTTGTTAAACTACTATTTGTAAAAACACACATTTCTGCTGCGGATCATATATATATATATATATATATAAATTCTGGCCTGTTTTTTTAAGTCAACATGTAAATGAATACTTCTTTCGGTGATTTTGCTAGACATCTTATCTGTAAATATAATTCTGTTAATCAGTAAAATGAGTATTTCCTAATGAATTCTGTTCTTACCGCCGCTGTTCTCTCATTCTGCTGCTTCAGATCTGTTATGTCCTTCTTCAGTCTGTCGTTCTCCACTGAAACATGAACAATATTCACACATTAAAAACCCTCCTAGACCTTTCACTTAACTGATACTATGAGCACTGCTAAGATGATGCTGTCATTTTTGTTTGGTCTGTCTCTGAATTTTAGTTCTCGTTTCTCGTGTTTGTATGTAGTTATTTACATCTTATAACAACAAATATAATTCTAGTGATACATGCATCACTCATTCACAAGAGATGTTTCTACTTTAAACACCAACAACAGCAACACCGTTAAACCCAGAAGTGAGACACCATTTACCAGCTTCACTGTGGTGAGAGCTGAAGAAAACAACTCTACCAACCATTTCCTGCCAACGAAGCCAAACGGGGGAATTCTGTTGTTGTTGTTATTTGTCCACATGCTGACGAGGTTTTTACCTCTGAGGTTGCACTGCTCCTGCACAGTCTGCTGAAGTCTGTCTGCGGTGGCGAGGAGGCTGCTTTTCTCTGCAACAGGTCGACCAAACATGGAAACTTCTCAAAGTTTGCTTGATTGTTATGAGATCGCAAACACGCAACAGAAAGTTTATACAAGCACGGACATTTTAAAAAGATTTTCCTTCTGTGGATGGAAACTTTTTAACACTACAAGTAAGCAATAACCTCCCTCATCCGGTATTTTCCATCTAGATTAATGTAAACTCTAACCGTATGTGCTCATTATATTCACCTTCGTCTGGCAAATTCAAGTTTGTTACTGTCGATAAAGTAAAAACCAGCAGCTAAAGCCAATTTAATAGGATTAAGATTCAAGCAAATGTTGGTTAATTTCCATAAAACAACGTGAATATGCCTATTCCAGCTTCCAAACACATGTGTCAGTGTTGTTATTCTAATTTACTTGTTTAAATAAATACCTGGCTGTGTATAATCCCTAATATATCCGCTGAACCCATCTGAAAGTGCGAACATATTTATGATTCTTGGTTCCAAAACAGGAGACAGACATGATTGTAGTTGGATAGATTTACCAGCAGAGGGAGACATACAATCACCGTATCAGATTTACCAGGGATCTTAAATTATAGACAACAAACACTTATTTCACTATTAAATGTGAATAATCAGGGTTTGACAATAAATCACCTTCAATCAGACTCTTCTCTTTGCTCAGGCTGAATTTCAGAAGTCTGTTGGCGTCCTCCAGCATGATCTCCAACATGCTGTTTTTGCCGTTAACCTCCGTGATTTTCTGTTTTAATGAAAGAAAAGACAAAAAAGCACCTCAACAAGAAACATGGAAATAAAGCACAACTACAGTACAGTGTATTATTGGTCACTATTACAGTGTTTATTCATTTCATATCAGAGTATGGTATCCTAGTATGTTTATTGATATGCTGTTAGGCTTTTTACTGTATTTTATTCCTCTCTTTCCTTAAGTCTAACTATCTAATGTGGATTTAAGCCAACTGGGGGGAAACAGCAAAAGCTCAGAAGCAGCTAACATCTATCTGTGTCATAAACATGTAAACTTAGCTTGTTTGAAATTGTCACATAACTACAATTAAAACCTCTAAAACCCTCCTTTAATTAATTATACGCAAGAAATAATGTTTCCCTAACTCCCCCTTATACACTTTATTCTTTAACTTTAGTTTAATTAAAAAAAAAAAAAAAAAAAGACTGAACACCGACAAACCAAATAGCAAACGCCCACGATTAAGCTAGCATTAGCACGTTAGTTAGCTAGCTAGCTAACATTACTTTACCTGCTCCAGGTGGCCAAACTCCTCCAGAAACCTGTCAAGATTCACGCAGTTTGACTTCATCGTGTCTTCAGTCCAGTAAAGAGCAAACAGCTGTAGTAATTATATTATTTTACTGATTGAATTTTGCTAAAGGTTCTAGTTAGCTCGTCTTGCTGCTAATTAGCGATGAGGTCAAGTGTTGACGCTACACTCCCTGTTTGGTCCAAATATGATAAATAAATAAATAAATAAATAAATAAAACTGCAAATTCGTCTATTAATAAAGTCTGTGAAGTAGGTTATGGAAGAGCAGTTTTTAGATATTTTTATACTGTAATATATTACAAAAAGAAATTTATTTAAATATCACATGCAGGTCAATCATTTAACATGGCCGAGTCGTTTTGCAAGTACTTAAATATGTTTAAAATATATTTTTCATTTCATATATACATATATATATGAATTGTTTGTGTATTTTTTCATTGCAGTTCTGCTACTAAAC